ACACACACACACACACACACACACACACACACACACACACACACACACTTCAGACCTGGAATACATTTCCCACTTAGGAGTTTTGATTTTTCTTGTTTACATAAACAGTAACAGCAAGCCCTATGCTACAAGTAAAGTAACTTATGTGACCCTTTTTGTGCAAATATGCTTAGTTTCAGTTCTGCCCTAATGTGAAAAGTCCCCTTTTAAAGTTGCCACAACAGGTCCATTATAAATCAGAATTTCTAGGTATTTAAAAGCAAATGGCCCTAAAAAGCAAGTTCCCAGCTGAAACATAGTTTTGAGCTAAAAAAAAAAAAAAAGCTATCTTTAATGTAATGACTAGATGGTTTCAATAGTAAGGATGGAAGAAGGACCAATTTGTGATAATTCTTAATGCTCACAACAAAGCTGCTTCAGTCTGAGTAAATGATCTCTTTTTAAAAAAATACTGTGAAGCATTAATGTAAATACTAAATGGATTTTCACAGACCTGGGTTGAGTGTAGGTACAGGTATCAAGAAAAAAACCTGCTAAATAAAATTATGTAGCAGTTAGAAAAGATTGGCCAGAATTTTGTTAACTACTACATTTTTTTAAAACTATTTTGAAACACCAGACTGACAATTTCAAAGTCAAAACTGACATATTATCCACGGACTATTTCTTGCTGTCTAAAAATAATAATTTTGATGTTAAAGAAACTTAAGACTGCAACTGCTTTATCATAGATTTGCGCTCTCAGTCACAGCAACTGAGGTTATCAAGGGGACCTGTTATCAGCACTGTCCCATCAGCCATTATAATTACGCAAACATGCTGCATATTTACTCTCAAAACCTTTTCAGTTTTAATGATCTTAATTGTTGAAAACCAACTCAATATTTAATAATGATACAGTGTAAGAGCCAGCTCAGCATGGAAATGAGAACTCGTTTGCTGTGGTCCCGTCCCCCCCGAAAAACAAGTGAATGCAGTTGCCAGGCTAAGTTCTGCTCAGAGAGAGCACTACATTCCTTCAGGCTTGCAGAGGCTCTCCTGACTGCAGATCAAAACTCAGAGAATATTTTTCAGTTCCCATAAGTCTCTCCTTAAAAAAAAAAAGAAAGAAAAAAAAATCTCTCTCTGCAGGACTGGAGGAATCTAGGACCCCAAAGAGCATGCAAAATGTTACAGTCTTCACATAACATTCTGAGTTTGTGCAGCACTGACAGGATTGGGCCTTGATCCTGCATGAGGCCAAAACCCCTACAGCTCTTCCTTTCAAGTAAATGGTGGAGGAACTGTATAGAACTGGGCCCTTGATGTGCAGGCTGTACACATTTAAAATGGAGGTGATTAAAATGTCTCCCGTGTTACTGTTTCTGAGGGAGTGCTAGTCTTAAATTTTACACATCCTGGTGTTTGTGGGGGTGTGTTCCAGCTGTCATACAGTTAAACACCTTGTTTAAAGAACAGATGCATAAAAAAGATTTGATATCGGCTCATGACTGACCCACATGCACCTATAGATATTTTAAGCTTGTCTATTCATATGCTTGGGGTGGAGGGAACCAATCAACTGCAAATGAACATTAGTGATCAGTTACTGAAAATCACCCCTGGGGTCAAAGAGCACTACTGAGCGTGACTGCTTTCTACAACTGTCCCAAGTGCAGTTTCCATCACAATGACTTCTGCAGAATGATCTGGCTCCACCACTCATATTTCTATACCTATGGGTGCCTGACCCTGTCATGCCCACCTTTCAATACAACAGCAGAGTTCAGATCTCTATTATGTAACTGTGAGTACAGTAGTAACAACAATGCCTTTTTTCAACACTTTGCTTTGACTCCAGAAAACAATATAACCACATGAAGTTATTATAATAAGCCATGAGAGAGGAAACAAAATGTTACGTCTCTATAAGGAACGTTCTTCACAGCTTGGTCCTACGTTCAGTAGTTTGGAGAAACCAAGATGTTCTTGTAGTCTGTACTACTCTCTTCAAATGATTTTGCCCACTTCCCAGATTCAATATGCACGGTCCACTGAAAACTTCCAAGACACCCATGTGCAGCTCATATGCAACTTGCTATCTTCCAATATGGCTCCTCAATTGAAATGCAAAGAACTGTAACACAGCAGCATTTAATAATGTAGTCATTGCTGTCAGAGCAAAATGTTATCATTGGGTAATGCAGTTGTCTCCCATGTCCTGAGCATAACGGTCTGATATTGTTGTCCTTAATTCATCAATATCCTTTCGTAACTGACACACATCCAAGAGTTTCTTGGAAAGAGTTTCTGTGCTCTGGTAATGCTCACTCTCTTCAGCCGAACTGCTCATTGCTGTTGAAATACAGGACACAGGGTTAGCGCTTTCCACAGTAGACATTTGTGAAAACCTGCACAAGCTCAGTCAATTCTAAAAGGGCATGCCTGATTTTAATCCAATGACACCAGAATAAATCAAAACAGTGTTTGGTGCAATTCAAAGCAATTTTTGAATTTACTGTAGTTCTTTCAAAAAAGCATTAATGGGAAATCCTCATAGTCTACTTCATTCCACCTTGATAAGGGGCACTGGGAAAGCTGTGGCAGAACTTCCCAAGACCTGGTGGCAGACATACAGCCTAACACAAGATGGAGGGCTTGGCAAACTGAACCAGGCCAGCCTGGGAAAAGGGACAAAAGGCAGAATGTGGTGTCCCTGCAACTTGAGAACAAAGTAATCCCAAACAGCCCAAGGTAAAATTAAAGTTTATTCCCCTCTGTAAACATCCCAAATCAGATGCTAACGGGACGAATCCAAGATGGCTGTAGGAGTTCTTGCTACTATAGTGAGGTATAATTGGTACCTCTCACTGTCAGTGGAAGTCTGCTTAGTAGTCGGGCTATTTGGTCAGTTGTGATCAACACCAGTAAAACGGCAGTGTACACAGACAAAGAAGAAGTACACAAAACTGTAAAAGGTAACCCCAGTTGCAATGCTTTCCTGACATATGGCTTGAAGGCATACTCTTGAGATTCAGATCAGGTTTAAATTAAGTTTTAAGACTGAAAGAGGGTTATAGATTGCATATGTAATCAACAGTGCTGACTGTCTTTACAGAGCATCGGCTGCCTCTGAACCATCTGAACAGGTCCTTCCTGGACCCAGCTGGAAAGTAAGAGGGAGTATCTAATCTTGTCAATCAAATATAAATCCATCCACCATTCCAAGGGGCTGACTGAGAAAGACTAGGACTTTACCTATATCAATTCCTCTGCTGTGTGCACTTTACTCCATAAACATGGCTGGACTACAGTGGAGTACTGATGCAAATTAGTAAGATCCTAGAGTATCTTCTTTCCTGTCAGATCACTTCCTGTTGTGACCAATGTGATCTCTTAAAATTAGGTCAGAGTATCATCATCAATCAAATGAAAAGATCCCAGTATAATACCACCCTGCACAAGGAAGTGGTTTCGGAAAGGCTGTATGTAACACGTTATTTAATCACTAGTAGCGAAACCACACGGCTGAAAACATGTTCTCTGGGTTAGAAAAGACTGATGTCCTGAGTACTTTTGTTTACTGGGCGTAATCAGCTAAAACTGGGTGTATTTAATGCCAAAGGACTGGGCAAAACACACTGACTTGCCCTATTCGCAATGTAGTTTAAACTGGATACGGGTTCTTCCTTTTCTGTCCTACTCTATTGTATATGTTGTTATGAACAATCAAACAGCTGCTGAATTTCACTGCACATGAGGGAACACTGCCAATATGAAAGATGTGGGGACTGTTCACGATTTTATTTTAAGAGCTTTGGGATTCTTACAAGAGGCACCGCATGTGGTATGTAGTGGAGTCAAAGCTCAGCATGCAAATATGTAATACCTACAACCTCAGAGTAACTTAGAGGCAATACTTAAAACATGGAGCTAACTGCAAAGCCAAGACTACTTGAAAAAAATCCAGGGAGACTGCCATTTGATCTTCCATGAGAGGGGCAGAGGGCGTACGTCTGCATCAGACCAAATATGATTCCCTTACTATAGGCTGTGTTTTTTTAAAGTAAAATATAAATACTGCAAGATAACATCACTTACATCTGATTCCCAGCAATAAGGAAAGGTTAGGCTCCTTGCCCTGAGCTCTCTGGGTAAGAATACTGCACAGTGCTTTCAAGTCAAACAAACAATGGGACATTTCCTTGAACAACTGATCTGCCACTGGCATCTTTGCAGACACTGGCTGTCTGGACTCTTCCATATGGCATATCTGCTCACTCAAAGAGGCGTTCTCATCCAGGAGTCTTTGGTTCTTTATGAAAACAAATAAGGAAAAAGGCCATGTGATATTCTTTACTTTACATCTGCCCACATTTGTTGTAAGAGCTGAAGATTTCTGATATTCACTGTACAAATAAAACACCAGGCTTCTGTTTCAAGTGGAAAACAATACAAATAACAATGAATGAACTCAGAGAAATACCAACATCCATTAGCCAACAGGTTCAGGTCTTGCTCAGACTTTGGGGGAATAAAAAAAAAAGAAAGAAGGATATCACAGGAGTTTTTGGCCACTGCTCACCAAGTGCGAATGGCTAAAACTCCCAACCACATGATATCATTCCATCCTGGCAGTTTGTCATTACCTGGACTATTAGCTCTTCAGGGCAGAGACCATGTCTTTATTACATGTCTAACAGCAGTGGTGCTCAACCTCTGAACCACGGAACTGTCTCATCCAGTTTGCAGGGTTTCCCACAGGTCTAGAAATTTGGTGGCAGGGGTGTGGTAGCCAGACCAATAGCAATTAATGTGACCACTGCTCCCCAATCACCAAATTTTTCTGGACCCATGGGGAGCCCTGTGGTCCAGATGTCATGGTCCTGACAAGACAAATTATGTCAACATGCAGCTGTGTTGCCACCAGATCCAGCCAGCCCTGCACCACTCATTTGGTCCCTGGGGCCAGAGAGATTGAGCACCACTTTTATACAGCAACAGGCACAATGTGGCTTCAGTTAGGCCTTGAGGCCCTGCAGTAATATATTTTTCTTTTTAAAATAATATTGAAAAAGGCTTTTCAGTTTTTACTTACTTCAAGCAAAGTCTTATTTAACTGCTGTATATTCTTCTCTTTTTCTTCAAGCTCATTTGTGATCTTCTGAACTCTCAATTCATCTTGTAAAATCTTCTCTTCCATGGACTACAGTGAAAACAAGAATAATGGCCTTAATTCATATACCACAACATAATAATTGTTGTTGATTTGCTACTTTTGGATTCTTTTCCCCTTGTCTATTTATTTCCCACTTCCCTAGAGTCATTTAAATGAGTCAGTGCCAGCTTCTACAGCATTTCTGCCAAATACATTTAATAGAAATGGTGGATGGGCTCTTTTCTTCTTCCCATTTTGTGATTCAGTCTTAAGATCACGAATGACACAAGCTGATTCATATTTTTTTTTCTGGGACCTGAGAAAGGTTAAATAGGATTTCACTCAGATATGTAAGAGATCAAATAAGATCTGGACCATGAAATCTAAAATTACTGTACAATAACTTTTTTTCCAAACATCTTTACTTTACATCGGGGGCATCTTAAACGAACAGTAGCTTTATGACTAACAAGATGTGCTCTTTTCGCCTCTGTTGAGAATGCGACATCTCCGTCTACATTCTAGCTGTCAAGAAAGCAGTATTATATCTGGTGATTCTGCTGTCCAGTTCAGATTACAGGTTTCTGATAACTCCTGAAACAGTGCAGTGACACCTATTTAAAATGACTTGAAAACCTAAATGACTCTAATGTAAAAGTAGTTATTTTGAAAGAATCTTAATTAAACAACAACCAAAAGTAAAGCACATGGGGGTGCGTGCACACATGCATGTACATACACATGCACATGCCCCGGTATAAAAAAAAAAAATACTTTTGTGTTATTTTAGTTGAATCTAAATTATTACTTCAATTCCCAGTTATAAGCCAGTGATACATTTCTATGAATCTAGCGTTACTAAAGAAAAAAATGGAGCTTCTCAGATTTGAGTCCCATATTGACCAAAGAAATCAATAACCCTCAGGACACTGAGAAAGCTGCTCTTGGTTCTGTTAGAACCTCCCTCCCTCCCCCCACAAAGTCCTTTTGACAGCCGACTGCATAAATAAGGTATTTAACAGGCTTATTTTCCAGGCTGTACAAAGCAGTCAGAGGACAAATTTTACTTTTGATCAGGTAAAGACTTCTGACATATTGAAAGCTTACCTGACAGCAATTTCTTGAGAAATTCCTGCTGCTCCTTAATATTTATTTGTCTAGCTTTGTTTGTCTAATGTATATAATTGTACACCCATGTGATGATTAACACACATTTCTGTCAAATTCTGTATGCTTAAGTCAACAGGATTTAAAACAGTCCCTCATCTCTGTGTAAGGCTTTGCCTACATTACAAAGTTCTGCTGACAAGGCATAGCTGCATTGGCTAAGGGTGTGAAAAAGGTCATGTTTTCATAGCTGGCATAGTTTTGCTAGCAAAACCCCCTGTTTAGATATAGCTTCATTGGCAGAAATCGTCATTCATCAAAGCTGGTATAACTCTGGCAACAGAAAAAAATCATTCTGCTGTAGTCCCAATGCCTCACAGGGATGTGGAACTTATTAGTTTACATGCTGCATCAAGTCTTCAAAAGCAGTAAATAATTGCTAAGTGGTAAAATTGGGGATTCAGTCCATGTTTCATGTTGCCCTGCTATAACAGGTTTTTTGTTTTCAGGTAGAGGTGACTTCCAGGTTCCAGACTCACTACTTCACAAATTTCCACTTGGATATTTACTTTAAATCACCATGACCTTAGCTATCTTTACTGTCAATTAAATCCAGATTTATTTCAGCACCTGATGACTTTTATATTTATGTTTACATGCTCTGCAGTGTTATTTGGCTGAAATCCAAAAAGAGGAATATTAAACCATCTCACTATGAATATTAATAAAGCTGAGCTACTGATTATAGAAAGTCCTAACATTTTAAACTACAGACTCTTGTAAAGCTTCAAAAAGAGGAAATTTTCTTCATGTTGGAAATGCTATCACTCTCAAATCCACTAGCATGATATCACAGTGCACACAAAAGGTCTTCTCTATCCTTTGATCAGCACATTGATATGTAAAACCTGTTGCCCAATTTCAATTATGTAATGCAAATCCAATCCTATTTTGCTCAAGATGCAGCAGGAGTTTATAGCAATGTCACATGCTTTGGCACAGAAGAAAAGGGGTTAGGGACAACTGGATTCTAGCTTTCTAGACCAATGGAACTGAAGATCATGTTGAAAAACAATCCAACAACCAAGGCAGTTTTATAGATCACTACATCATACACAAGCCAATTTATGGAGCAACACTGCTTTAGAAGAATATTGATCCATTCTGATCCTATAGAACCATCCTCTAGAATGTAAGAGAGATTTTTCAAGCAGGTAGTGTTAGAGTGATGTAAGCCATGATGGTCCAGAAATTGTACAAAAGGCAAGGATTTCTTAGGGTGATAACTTTTACTGGACCGTTGATGTAGTTGGGATAAATTTAGACAGGCTATCGAATGGAAGGCATTCTTCTTTTGCATAATTTCTGCACCACTATAACTACCACTCTTATGCTACTGTAACATGGAAGATATCAAAATGTGCTGCTTGATGGAAAATCTACAACCTAAAAGAAACCAGACTACACACTGACATCTTCTTAAGCCTGTGCAGGCAACATAACATCCTCTCAAGGGAACTCATCACCTTTAGGGCTAGGGACAGAAATTACACATAAACCAGTAGAAGTGACCAAAAAACTGTTCAAATCTATAACACAAAAGAAGGTCAGTGTACATAAACAGCTTTCAAAATGGCTGAAACTGGTTTAAGGTAAACCTGGATGGATGTAGTATCACATTCCCTGAAAATCCTAACATAGTACAATTGTCTTTCATACTCTGTCTTAAGTCTGATTTCTAAAAGCCGAAGATGAGAATTTACTCTTGCTGGTGGACCAGTCACACTACAAGCTAATCAAAGGTTGCACTGACCAGTCACAATGGGCATGTCTACATGTGCATTAACATGCTTTAGTTAATGCACATTAAATCCAGTACCTCAATTGTGAGGTAGTAGGAAAATGGGCATTATTCTATCTTAATGTGCTTAATTAACTAAAAAGCAAGATTTTGAAGTGATGCTTAAGGTTCATTGGCCTATTTCAATGCACATTAGCTAGATAGCACAGGGTTTTTAGTGATGCTTTAATGTGCATTAAAATAGGTTAATGAGTATTAAAGCGCATGTGTAGATGTGCCCAATGACTGTATGTTTGAATTCATTGCTTTATTGACAAGCCAGCTCTGTATGCTAAAGATGCGACTGGGCAACACTATTTATAAAAACAGAACAGCTTATAACTAACTGCTATTAAATTTTACTCATTTGATTTCTAAAACTATATTCATCACTAGCTCCATATTCCTGTAACGAACCCTCTGGAAATAATTTCTGTGTTGCTCTGAATATAGTATCAGCCTTTTTGATTCATGAGTCATTGGCATTTATTAGGCATCACTAGAATTGAAAATCTGCATTAAATTTCCAATATTAATTGAGCGCCTCTAATCCTCCCCTGGATATAAGCTCCCTGTCTACCTGCACACTCGTAAACAAGCCCACAGGTTTTTTACCCTCAACAGAGGTTTCTTTCTCCTCCAGCTGTGCAATTCAATTTCACGCAGCAAATGCACAAAGTGAAATTTAGTGGTTAACCCTGTCAGTCACGATGAACAAAATAAAAATGGCTCCAGTGACAGGAGTCTCTCAGATAACACATGCATTGTATAATCTGACTTTTTTTTTATTGTTTTGCATGTACAAAATATTAATTTTGTCAGGGTCTAAATTAATCATTGGAACAGGGATTTTAAAACCTCTACCACTGTTTTCCAATTTCTGAAGATGGACTATACACAGTATGATATTTCTTCAAAAAACAACCATTAATTTCTCCCTGTTAAAAGACAAACAAACAAAATAAATCATATCACACTGAGATCAAAATTGTTATCTTGGGATTACAAATAAATAAGAAATTAACCCTGTCCAATATAATACTATTTGAAGTAGGATTTGTTTTTATTTCAACTAATAATCTTCAGAGACAAACACCAAAAAAGAAATATTTTGTCAGGGGGAGATGGCAGCATTGCAAAAGGGGTTTTGATGTTCTTCGGAATACAGAACTGAAAGAAAGAAATTATAAAGCATGCTTTTAAAATTGAGACTGAAGATAATAAGGAAATAAGATGTCTGGTGTAGTTTCAAATATCTTTTTTTTTTAAACCAGATTGTTCTTCTAAGTCAGTGATTCTCAATCAGGATGCTATAATATCTTTTGAAGGGTGCCGCAGAAAGTGTGAGGAAATAAAGCAAATAATGGCAGCCTCAGGCTCTCCCTGACTGGTTGCTCCCCACCTCACTGCTTAGTCCCTTTGCAAAGAGGGGACTGTAAGCACTGTAATATATAAATTAGTTTCTGAAACAGCATGCCGCTCAATTCACTAAAGTTGTAGAAGAGTGTCTTGTACCTAATGAATCCAGTGCATGAGAATGAACTCATACTGAAAACCTTATCAAAGACAAGAACCAACTACTTGTGGGGGCACAATTCTCACAAGATAGTCGGTCCCTCTCTGATCTCAGTTCTAGTCCTCAAAAGGAACTTACAAAACACCTTTCGTAGACGAGCCTATGAACTTCCCTTCATAAATCTACTGGATACAAAAAATAATGTAGTCAATATAGACATTGGATTTATGACACATCACAACCCACCTGACATCTGATTCACCATGTACCTGCCACACCTGATTTTTTACACTTTTCTTTCCCCGCTTCCTTCCCTCCCCACCTTTTCTACCCTTTGTCTTCCTAATTTACAGCTATTTACTTTTTCACAGGCAGCCTCTTTTCTACCTTGGAAAACTACTACAGTAGAAACACCCTTGCCTACCTTTGGCTTTTTTCCCCCTTTATTTTCCCTCTCCCTTCCCCTTCTTTACCTTTTGTTTTCCTAATTTCCACCTATTTACATTTTTAGTGACTTACTGTCACACAATTAGCTTCTTTCATTCCTTGGAATCTCAGAACAGCAGAGAACCCCTGTCCCTGAAGAAGTGTGATTGTGCCCAAAAACTTGCAAAGAACTTTTTTCTAACTACTCAGTTGGTCTGATAAAAGATATCACATTTAACCAAAAACCTTGCCTGCCTTGAATCTAATGAGAGGTGTCTTGATTTTAATATGGCTCTGTTCTAGGTTCTGGTAAGGAATCCTGTTCCTCTGCTGGTGATGTTTGTAACAGTTCACTAGTGATTTCCTATAACCTGGTTCTCCAACCTATCATAAGAAGGGAGTAAGAATTAGGGCTACACATAGACAGGCAGAAGAATCAAAATGAAACAATTCTTGAGGCTGGGGGTGAAACAAACGTGGACTATTTTAGGATCTACAGCTGGTTTGAGAGCTAGAAACACACACAAACACCTTATCCCCAGATGTGTTCAAGGATGCAGAGGGAATGGAGGGCCGGGGGAAGGGAGAACCACCTCAGGAAACAGAGCACTATTCTGTTCAAAGGGTGGTGTAGTTCTAACACAGGAATTTCACAGCCTGGCTCACTATGCAATACAAATGAGGCATATCAGACCCTAACTGCACAGTGAAACCTGCTCTACAAATCTACACAATACTGTGCCATGCTTCAGAAATCAAATTTAAATTAGACACAGGCAAAAAAAATCAGGAACAAGAAAGGCCAGGAAAAAAATTACATCATAATATTTGAAAAGAAATATTTGTAGAGATGTTACAATCTTGACTGCTTGGGGAAAATATGTGAGTTGTATAGTTCTGCTGGGAAGATCGTAAGCTATAGAGAGGGGAGAGGACACCTGGAAAAGTCTGTGGAATTCAATCTTCTTAAAGTTTTAGAATTCATGAAAGGTCCCAAGAACATCTGCACACTAAAGCATTCCCAACTTGATAAATGGTACTCTCCTAGGAATCCCAGAAGCTTAAATTATTGCTTTTGCTTTCCAGTACACCTATGTGTAGTGCTGTAAATGAATTTCCTCATGAGCTTTCCAACTGCTACATTTAATATACTGTAGTTTAAATACGTAAGGACATGGTTGTTTACCAAATATCAGGCTTCCCATACTTGGGAGAGAGGGGCATCAAAAGGGCATGTTCAGCATGAGGCAGTCCTGCTTCTCCTATAGGCAGAGAAAGCCCAGTCACAAAAGAACCAGTGTGCTCCCAATGAAGAAGGCAGAAGAGAAGAGACAGATGTTGTGAGCTTGTGCAAGAACATAACCTGCACAGGCCAAAGATCCTAGCCTCGTGACTCCTTGCCTACTTAGTCAGAAACCAGGCAAAGAATAGGATGGATTTACTAGCATGACTCTTGCCTCTGGTTACAGGGAAGACAGCCAGAGAAGAGGTGCCTTACTGACCCACACGGCTGTTCAAAGCCCATATACTTTAGCTCTGCTACCTGGAGAAATCCTCAGCTCCAAATTAGATCCACATGCTCCCTATAAAGTGCATGGAGAGTCAGACGTTTCAGAAAGGAATCCTCAGAAACCATCAGATAACCCAAACTAACCCTGCTTCCAACCACATGAGAAATGATCAGGGATCCAGCTTTTCTGTTTCCCATAGAAAAACAGAAAAAAACATGAATTTCCCCTTTTATTTGAAAAAAATGTGGATTCTTCATTTTAATGGGGAAATGTTTAGATTTTGCAGTTTTGCAAAGGGCTCTCTGCAAGCTAGCAGAGTTCCAGCCTGCAAGGGGCTCTGAAGAGCAGGAGGGGGGCAGTCAGGCAGGGGATGCCATGATGGCTGACAGGCAGCCTAGACAGCAGCTCCTGCAGGTAAGCCTGGTGGTGGGGCTGAGGGTGCTGCCTAACCAGGCAGTACATAAGGCCTGGGGCAGGAATGCGTGGCTGCAGGGCCGTGGCAGGGAGCAGGACAGAGCCACGGGCAGCTCGTCTAGTGGTCGGGGGCTGACTCCCTGCCACTATTTGGACTCCTGGTGCGGAGGGGGGGACGCAGAGGGTCACATTCCCCCCCCC